CATATGCCGTTGTTTCTCAGCTTCAGCCTACTGAGGTATTCGTTGAGGAGACAGTGTCCTGTTAGAAACCCCTTGACAATCCGAAGATTGTTTTTACTTAAATCAAGGAAAACCTTTGATTTTTCTCGGTCGTAAGTTCTGAGGAACTTTTTCGAGTGTCTTAGACCGTTGGAGGATACCCATTTCAAGTTACGGATGGAGTCTTCCAGATTCTTCAGTTCTGCTTTTAGTTGGTTCCCGTTTGGAAAACAGAACAGTTCTGGTTCAGTTAGTGGAGTGTTCGCTCCTTTCCTAGCTAGATCATTTGCTTTTTCATTGCCTTTTATTCCTTGGTGAGCAGGCACCCACAGTAGTACTTTATTTTCTTTGCCTAGTACTTTATTTTCTTTGCCTAATTTGTTGAGCTTCTCTAGGCATTTTTTGACCAACTTCGAATTGATGGTTACTGAGTTGATCGCGTTTAGTGCTGCTTGGCTATCGAATAGGATGGCAATTTCCTGTTTTCAATAGTTCATATCTAAGATAAATTGAACGCATCTTTCGATAGGGTAAATTTCCGCCTGAAGGATACTGGGGTAGGTACGGTAATCATTTTATTGGTTCGAAGTATTTGGTTTTCGGCCCAGATACTCCTATCCCTGTCCCTGCTTTGGTTTTGGAAGCATCAGTATACCACGTTATGGTATGGTGTTTTATATGCTGAGTAAGCGTATCTTCCTTCCAATCCTTTTTATTACTCAATATTACAGTGAGTTGTTTCTCAAAGTTGTAAATTCTTGGTATGTCATCCACTGGGAGTTGTGAGAAGTGGAATTTTCTTTTTGAGGGTGTTCCAAGCCCTTGACATGAAAATTCTCCCAGTACTGTTACCGTCAATGACCATTCTAATCATTGTCGCATTGGTATAACTACCGACGACAATGTGCAGTGGTGTTAGGTCTAAAATGACCTCCATTGCTGCTGTTGGATATGTTCTCATGGCACCTGTGATGCAGATACATGCCAGTCTCTGTACTTTGCACAGGTTTTGCCTTGCTGTACGTTGCTCTAGTTTTGTATACCAAGCAACTGCTCCATAGGTAATCATTTTATTGGTTGAATTTAAAGGCTTCGATTGGTTAATCGTTTCTAACCAATCGAAGTCTTTAAATTCAACCAATAAAATTTATATCATATCATCGTATCGTCGGATAACGGATGCATGAAAATCAAGCTTTATACGAACTTTTTTAATTATTTTTACCTGCAGAATATTTCCGGAATACAGTTCGGACCACCCTGTATATTAGATATGGAAATATGTAAGGTCGATTTTATTTTTCAATCGGAATGTTCATCTAATCAGTATCATCACTGTGTTTAAATAATTTTTGAGTGGAGGTGGAGGAATTATTGAGGAAAATAATATTTTTTCATCAAATTTCAGTAGGTATCTCTCTTACGTTCAGAGAAAAGGCGGTTGGCCTATTTAAATTCAATAAACATTGAAGGCGACACGTCACCTAATTAAATCCGTCATAAACTTTGTGATCCCTTAACCTTTAGGTAATTTGTGTGCAGTGTCAAACCGTTAATCGACTTTATTTAATTCCTCCCATTAGAACAGTTAACTGACTTGGTAATTTATGAATCACTTTAATATCCGGAGATTAGCTTCAGCGCGGCAACCTTGCTGCATTTACATGGGTGTAATTGAATGGTAGTTTAATGGTAAATGTTATTAGGTTTGTTAGTATTAGAAAAAGTAAACATAAGTTAATTAATTTTTCCGTATATTGAGATTCCAACTGTCAATTCTTTCTTGCAAACGATACTTTTCAATTCAAATATGTGTTATACAGTTAATACAGTATATCACTGGATTGTCTTTATAACAGGATTTTCTTATTATTGACGTTTTGAGAAAAATGCATTCTTCATAAAAGGTTTTGCCTGTTCTTCAAATTTTCATACCATTTTAGAGAAAAAAAAATGAAAATATAGTTGATTTTTTTCCCAAAGTATCAAAAATGAAAGATGATTCTATAATATAATTTCGTTTTTATTCTTCGATAGATTAGATAGTTATTATTAATTTTGGTTAAAGTAATATCTTTTACTATTTTTAATCACCCAACCGTAGCATTGAACTAAGTAAATCTTGTGCTTCTTTAACAAATTAAAACAGCAAAAAATATGACGTTAACAACAACTAACAAAATAATAATAGCCATCTATCAAAGAACGAAAACTACATGATATTACCATGAAAACCAATTTTGATTTTTGGTATTCGAAAAATGCAATATTTTTATTTTTTTTTTCATTTTCTCTAAAAAGGTATAGAGATTTGGAAACACTAGAAATAATAAGAAAGTATTTCTCTTGTAAAAACAATCCGAGGGCATACTGTAGAATGAAGAATACTAGAAACCCCCAATTACAAATACCTATACATACATATTTAAGACCTACTATCAAAAAGTTTTATTAACAAGCGGATTTCGTTTTAACGGGATACAAGTTTTTGTAATGAAATTTTCCACAATAGTTGTTTTTTCATGATTTTTGTCAAGCATTTCTGTACATATTTTTAATTTACTTAAGACTCGCCTTGTATGTAATGTCCATATACAGGGTGGTCTAAACTGTATTCCGGAAATTTTGGCAGCATATTCTATAGATAAAAAAAAGTTCGTATTAATGTATGTCCTAAGATGCTTAGTTTTGGAAATACAGGGTGTAGAAGATTTTTTCCAAATAATTTCTGAAATAACGTCAATATTTGGATAAAAGTTGGTACCCGGGTTTTTTTCGACATGAAAAATTTGATTTTGATGTCAATATGACTTCTATTTTTAGGGGGCATGTGTTTTAACTGTTTTGAAGAGTAATAACTTTTCGTCCGTACCTGTATAAAACTACTGGGTGAAAAAATGTACATTTCCGTGACTTTTTACGTAAAAAATGTCTCTTGGTAAAAATCGCTAAGAGCAACCATTCTCAAGATATTTAGAATAGAAATTATCAATACATGTCACTATTGACAAAAAAATAAACACGTTGAGTAGATAGTTATTTGACTGAGATAATGCATTTGGAAATTTTTTATTTTTTTTAAAATAAACCTAAAAAAAAATTTTTTTCTACGAAAAAATTATGAGAAAACAGTTTCTGTTGAACTTTTGGCACAAAAAGATTTCAAATTTATGATTTCAGTTTAATAACTGTGAGTCAACATTTTTAATTTATCTCAATGATGATAGGTCTTGATAATTTCGATTCCAAATATCTCAAGAACCATTCCTAGGCAGCAATTTTTATCAAGAGTAAAGAATGTCGTAAATTTATATTTTTTACTCACTAATTTTATACAGGTACGGACGGAAAAAAAACTCTTCAAACCAGTTAAAACATATGTAGGTCGCGCCCTCTACAAGTAGGAATCATATCGACATCAAAATCAAATTTATCATGTAAAAAGACTCCAAAATAGCAATTTTCATCCAAATATTAACGTTAATTCTTAAATTATTTAGAAAAAATCGAGATAAATATGAAACTTGTACACCCTGTATCTCTGAAACTAAGCATTTTAGGACATACATTTATAAGAACTTTTTTACCTATTTAATGCCGAAGTTTCCGGAATACAGTTCGGACCACTCTGTATATATAATCATTTAAAAATGATAATTTTGTTATTCTTTAAAAAAATTAAAATTAAAAAAAAAACTTTATATTAAAAGCATCAATTGTCATATTTTACTTGTCAAATTTGTGTATTAGTAAACAATTTTTAAAGTGAATTTATAATATAATTAATTTTTGAAATGATTTCTATTTTTTTAGATTTTGGAACTAATTTTGGTTCAGTGCGAAGCATGTGTAATATGTGTAAAAGCACCCGTTTAAATATGTAAATGAGTTCAATATTAGGGTTAATTAAATGCAATTCACTCCTGTTAAATGAAAACATTTCTCCAATTAACAATAAATGCTTGTTTTGTTCATTATTCGTATGGTATTTGTATATACAAAGTTAAATACAAAGTTGGTACTACAAAGAGCAATGTTAAACGTCTCGGAATATTAGAGGTATTCAATTATTTATGGTCACTTCCTGGTTCACCGGAAATTACTACAACTTTTGATTTTTAAATGATACTCTCGGACTTTTTTTTACTTTATTCGATAGAAAATGACACTCTAAATTGAATGACATATCATATGTCAACTTATGACATTTTCGCATATGTTTATTTGAAATTGTAACATGCGGTTCATAACGACAATTTGGCTCAAAATACCAAGTGTGTGATATCAAATTATTCGTAACAAAATGCTTTTTCTAGATATGCTAATGAGCCACCCTTGTTCCATTTAAAAAAATTGAGATATGATTAAAAATACCATTTGGGAATCTTTTAACGGGCCAGAACAAAACACGAAAAACATTAGACGATGAAATCTATTTTCCAAGGTTCCTTGATTAAAAATTAATGTTTTTAAGACAGGCATGGCACTCTAGATTGAAATTTAAAATACGATTTTTTTAAAGCGAGAATGTCAAAAGTTGACATATGATATGTCATTCTATTCAGAGTGTCATTTACTATCAAATAAAGTAAAAATATACCGAGGATGCCATTTAAAAATCAAAAGTTGTAGTCATTTCCGTTGGAACAGGAAGCGACGAAAAAGAATTGAATACGTCAGTCAATCCTAATTTATGTCATATACTAACATACCAAATCTTGTTTTTTTATTTAACTAAAAGTTTACACAGTTTACCTAAAATAAACCAAAAAACTTTAATTATACCAAATTTTGCTAACCATGTTAACAATGTCTTATAATTTGCACTGCACTGATATGGCATCATCAGCAGATGATTAAACCTTGTGATTAAATATTATAATTTTTAACACCATAAAATTCTAACTAATTCTTAGTATTTCCATTCAATTGTTATTCGAGGTTGAAACTAACTAATTAATTTATCTAAATTTTGTTTGCAGCTATCCGGAATAGGAATTATCATCGCAGGAGCCTTGATCTTGACAGAAATGGCAGATTTCAACAGGATAGCTGAAAGTGATCTAGTTAAAATGGCTATAGCAATGATAGTGGGTGGTGCTATAGTTACCATCGTAGCTTTCGTTGGATGCCTTGGCGCCATGAGGGAATCTTATACACTTCTAATGGCGGTGAGTTTTTAAATGTCTACATAATTCAGTTCTTTTGTTTTCGATTTGTTTTTGTTTAGTACAAATTTGATTGATTTTAAGAGGCACGTTGGGTTTTTGCAATTGAAGGCATGAATTGAATTCAAATTTGGTTTCACATGTGAAAACAGTACCGATTTTTTTAAAAAATAAGAGCCATCTGTACCTGTAGGAAGCGAAATTTATTAGCCTAAGAGCTAGCAACGTTTTCGAGAAACAATTTTAAAACGTCTGGCTCTTTGATATATCTTTTACTATGCTCTCTGGAACAGCATGCGGCCCGTCTGGCTACCGATGCCCGTTGCGTTCACTACTGCGCATCGGAAGAAGATCCTATATTTTTTATTAATTTAGTCCTATAAATTCTAGTATTGAATATAAGTCGAACATGTCTCTATAGCGCAGTGCGTAGAGTTTCCGACCACGAACCCATGATTCAGAGTTCGAATCCGGGTCAAGGCAAAGACTTTTTATTTTATTTTCGTTTATATTCTGATAGTAAAGTAGTAAATAATTCTGGTGATTCAAAAAAAAAAACAAATATTTAATACTTTACTATCAGAATATAAACGAAAATAAAATAAAAAAGTCTTTGCCCTGACCCGGATTCGAACTCTGAATCATCGGTTCGTGGTCGGAAACTCTACGCACTGCGCTATAGAGACATGTCCGATTTATATTCAATACTAGAATTTAAAGGACTAATAAAAATATAGGATCTTCTTTCAATGCGCAGTAGAGAACGCAACGTTTACCGGCAGCCAGACGGGCCGCATGCTGTTCTAGAGAGCATAGTAAAAGATATATCAAAGAGCCAGACGTCTTAAAATACTTGTTTTTTCCGACGTTGCTAGCTCTCGTGCTATATTATGAAGTCGAGTAGAGTGAAGGCAATATCTTTAGCCAGACCGTTGGGTTAGCCAAATTGAAAATTGGACCTGTTTCAGTAATGTTCTATTAACTAAAAAAAGGCCACAAAAAATTTTGTTTTCGTAAACTTTTAACCCTGCTGATTTCTAAATAAAAAAATATATTTTGTTTATTACGTGTTAATTTAAAGATCATTGGCCTTGTTTGTATACACTAGACCAAACTATAAAATTCCCAACACTTTCTTATATTTTTTTTCTCTCTCTATCTCTTCCTTCCTACTTGTATCCGATCTCAGCATCGATCGTCTTGGGAGATTTCACCGATTATATATATTTTCGTAATGGCATATTACACAATATAAACCTACATTGTTGCGTTCTGCGTTGACCAGTCACTTTCTATGAGAATATTTACAAGTTGACCCGTAAAGGAAGAAATAATCGTAGTAAATTCCTTTCAGGCCTCGCGATCCGAGACCGCCGAAAATAAAGCGTCGTTTACAGTTTTAACGGGCCTGAAAATTTATTCGCGGGACGTATGATGGTTGTTTTTTTTTGTTCGATACAGGTCAGGTGTTTATAATGACTGAAAATGGCTTTAAATTTGTATGTTATTTTGGCACACCCTGACAGCACATGCTTTGAATTTAAATGATTCTTCGCATTATAAAATAAGTTGTTTAATTATATCATACACTCACCGGCTCGAAAAACGCACACCTTAAAATTTTGACGTATTAAGTTTTATACAGGGTCACAGTTATGTACGGTCGATTATTAGATAAAATATAGGAGGTACGGTAAAAAGTTAGATACAAAAGTTGTAGGGATTTTAAATATCTATTGGCGAGTAATAAATTTATGTATACAGGGTCGGTCATAAAGTCGTGGCACATCAAATCTTTATTTTTTTTTAAATAGGCCGTCTGTATATTATTACATATTTTAGTTCTTCCTTCAATTCTAAGCAAAAGTCGAAATACAAACAATGTACCTCAAACCAACCGTTTCCGAGTTATTGACTTTTGAAAATATCACTTAAACAATTTGATTTGATTAATTTCGATATGTTCAGTTTCATTTAACGATGCCATTCTGCCGAAACTGTGATACTTAAATAATATTTGACATTAGTTCTCAAGTTAGCATTTATAGATGTATAAAATGAGATTATATCAAGTCTGGAAATTACAAAATTTTTGTTTAACATTTCAATTCTTCAATTTATGCACATTGTATATTACGATTATTGCTTAAAATTGAAGGGAGAATTGTAATATGCAATAATATACAAGAGGTTTCATTTAAAAAAAATGATATTTGATGTGCCGCAACTTTTTGACCGACCCTGTATAGGGGAGGTCGGGTACAAATGTAACAATTTCTACGTTTAATTTTTTTTTGGCGATATGAACAAGATTAAAAGTGTGAAAATTTAACATAAAATAGCTTATATATTTGACAATTATGAGAAACGAAGTTTTTTTGGAAATCTGTTTTTATTTTTATTTAAGAAAATTAAAAATAGAGTCACTCAAAGTGTTTCAAGCGTACCCACTGTGGGGACAGTTGTAACATACTGAGGGACAATTGTAACAAGCCATAAAATATTTGTCTTCCTTTATTTATTAAAAAAAAACACAAAATTATAACTCTTATTACAACATAAAAAACATAATGCAACTTAAAATATCAAAAAAAATGGTAACTACACCTAATCACTTTCTCCTTCTTCGTCATCATCTTCATCACAATGTAGACAATAAAAAAAGAGGGCTTAATTTATGGGCACATTTTTCATGTGCCCATTCCTTGCATTTATTACATTGGATCCATACTAAATTATTGTATTTTGTATAAGGTTTTAAACAATACAGGCAAAAGCAATCATCACTATCTTCCTCTGAAGAGCTCTGCACCTCCTTTTTCATTTTTTTAACCTTCTTGCTTGACTTTATAATTTGTCTTTTTCCATTTTTATTGTGAAAGTCGCCTATTTTTCTGGTAACTGCCTCAACTTTTTGTTTTCTTTTTAGCTGTTCTTGCTCAGTTATCAGTTAAAACAGAGCTGCCCATCTTTCTTCTTCTTGTTACTTTCCTTGTAGGATTAGCTGGAGCCTTTGGCAGGGGACGAATTTGTTCTAGCTGCTGAAAAGAAGCATTCAAGTCGACAGGACTATCTGGTCGCGTACTCGGTCCTGGGACAGGACTATCTGCTCTTGCACTAGGAACTGGTACAGGACTATTTGGTCTCCCATCAGAAATCAGACTTTCCGGTCTCGTACCTGGAACATCTTCATCCTTAGAATTGAAGTTATTACTGGCTTCATCATGAGGAGATTTATCAGCAGGGACTGTGAGTTCCCTATCAGTAACGGAGGACGGTGCAAATTCATCATCTCCGAAAACATCCCTATTAAACGGCCATATTCCAGAAACTCGGAATCCTCCCATTATATTGTTTAGAGTTGTTGCCTTTGGAAATGCCTCTGCAACTACAGTGGGGATGTCGTAGATGGTCATTGTTTGTCCTGGGTGCGATTTCAACCAGTTATCGATAGCTATGTTGACAAAGTGCTTAAATGGTCCATATACGCCACGGTCCAAAGGTTGAAGCTTATGTGACGTATGTGGTGGAAACGACAAAAGCACCACACTGTTCGCTTTGCAGAAATCTATCATAGGAACATATAGATGTGAGCTGTGATTGTCTAATAACAACAACACTTTTTTATCTGGGGAAGGTCTAACGTGCTTCACAAAGTGTTGCATAAAAATTAAAAAAGTTTCCTCTTTCATCCAACCAGACCCGTTAGCTTCACCAATACAACCCACAGGACCACCTCGGATAAAATGAGAATGATATTTCTTTCGCGGAAATATAAAGAGGGGAGGTACAGTGTTGCTTGTAGCACTAACAGCTGTGCAAACTGTTACCAAAGTGCCACGTTCCATGGACGTAACCGCTCCCACTTGCTTGGTGCCTTTAACAGCTACGACTTTATTTGGTTTCTGCACGGTTGTAACTCCGGTTTCGTCTACGTTATAGATAGCGGAGGCTTCGAATTTGTGCAATTCCAATAGTCTTGAAAGATTATCAAAAAATTTATCGACATTTACTTTATTAAAATTAATTGCACGTGCATAACTGGTTGCCTCAGGAGTTCTTATGGAAATATCTGGGTGTCGACTCATAAAATTTGTAAACCAGTCTTTTCCCGCAAGGCCGTTTGTCAACCATTGCTGGGGAACTTCTACATTATTTTTTAAGGCAAAATCATGGACCTATAAAATAAAAAATTAACAAACAAAATAAAGCGAGAATAAACCTAATACCAATTTTCGGATTTCTTTTGGCGTAAGACCGAAGTATATAACAGCAGAGATCCGTATATACTTCAAAAATGCGTCTTCCTGTTCTTTGGTTAAAATTCTAATATGTGGGTTGTAACCCATTTTAGTAGATTCACCCGCTTTCATTTTTTTATGTATCTCTTAAGTGTAACATGGCATATATTTAAATCTATAACCATATTGGCTGCTCTTTTCATAATATCATCTGATGGTCCTCTCTCAGTTTTTCTTATCCTTTGACGTGGCATAATGCTAAAACAATAATAATTCATAATTCTATAAGAATTTGTTTTTAGGGGTACAAATGTAACATGTAACAATTGTACCCATTCGAAATGTTACATTTGTACCCTGCCGACGTTGAAGGGCATTTTTATTCATATCTCTTCTTAGCAGAAACATAACCTCAAATGCACTATAGGTATTTAATCACACATGTTTAACAAAATAATTAACCGGAAGAAAACATTCAACAAATTTACTTACCAGTTATATGAGGAAAACTTTAACACAATCACAATTTTACAATATGGCCTTAAAAATAAATATCTTAATATATCTCTTCAACCGTTAGGTGTAAATACGCCATACTTCCACCAACATTTGAGATGAATGCAAATGCAAGCTGTAATAAGGCATAGTTGCCAAACTTAAAAATTAATTTAAAGAATTTCAGGAGCTGCTGTTACATTTGTACCGCGTTACAACTGTACCCGACCTCCCCTACTTAAATTTACTAGTAGCTAATAATAATTA